ATCTTGGCAGCTTTCAGCTACCATATTCTGGTCTGGAACACTTGGATCAATGCCAGTATTTTGGCCGTTTGAGGCCTCCATACTTTTCTCTGGACTCTTATTTTTCTCCTCTAAATTATCATCATTAGGGGACACCATACTTTTTTCCTCCACATTTGCACTTTTTTGCAAATCTAACTCTTTATCAGGAGGGTCTTTTTTCTTTTTTTTAGAACCAAACAGGTTCTTTTTTACAGATTTCTTGGGACCCATTTTTAAAAAACGGGACTTTTTTTTTTTTTTTTTTTTTTTTTTTTTTTTTTTTTTTTTTTTTTTTTCACATAAAAAGTATAATTTAAAAGAAAGATGAATAAGAATAAATCACAATAACAAAAGAAATTTAACGAGACAGAACAATTAAAACAGTTAAACAAAAAAATAAGTTAAAAAAAATAATGCGCTAAAAAACGACAAAATACGTTCAAAATAAAAACAGTTAACAATTACAAATTACAAAAAGCGAGTACAGAAATGAAAATCACAATTTAAGACGGAAAATAAACAAAAGGTATTTTTTTACAATAATACAACAAAAATTACGCAACAAAAAATGCCAAACGAAGTTCACAAATACAATATGGCTGCCACTAGAAAACTAGTCAGCCCACGAACACTGAAAACGAAAAACACGTGAAACTAAAATAAAGAAGAACTAACGAATAGAAAAATAAATGCGGAAAATAAATGCAAAAAATTACAATAAACACAGGAAAGACTTAAATAAAGGAATACAGAATAAATAACAGTTATTTACAACGAGAAAGAAACACTGAAAACACGTAGAAATAAAACTGTAAACAAAGAAAAACGAAGTCTTACGAGGGGCAAAGAAATAAACAATGAAAAAAATAAAGTTTGGTGTGGGAAGTTACTGAAAAGAAAAAATTAAAACTCAAAATACGTATTAAAAAAAAAGGAAATTAATAAAAGAAAACAACAAGGATAAAGTATAAAAAAATAGGGGAGGGAAAAGAAAGAAAAAAATCAAATCAAACTTTTGGCAAATCAAATCAAACTTTTGGCAAAAAAAAAAAGTCAATAAACTGAACGTAAAATAAAATAAAAATGAACTTAACGTGAACAAAGGGTTGAAATCAAAAACAGTTCGTAATAACTCGCAAATACGTCTGGCATCAAACACCGGTCGTATACCGTCGAAAAAAGAACTCTCCTCAAAGAGGTACCATAGAAGAAAGCTCATCAGAACAATTACCATGAAAATACTTATAGAAAAGGCACAGGGGATAAATGCTTGCAGTTATATTGAGCTGCTCAATTTATCTTGTCACACCTCACAGCATGCGATACAGACAGTTCCATATAGATGACGGTTGCTCTCTTAGCTCATCTTTGTTAATTATTAATATACTATAAGGATTATATATAAATGGCTTAACTCAGTGAATCAGTGGAAACATTGTGGTAACTAAAAAAAAAAATAAGCAATGAATGACACAATAACTTGTCTTATTCAGCTTTCTGCTATAACAATTGATAGGCATTATCTCCCCTGTGAAGAACTCTCCTTTCCTAAAAGATTTTTAAAATAAAATTCATATGGTTTGTGACGTTTTTTTAGAATAATGATCAACCCAAGAGCCACTCAAGTTTATGTGGATATGTGGGTGTAATGGGATTGGTTTAGCTAATACATAATTAACATAAAGAGAGCTATAACTATAGTTTACAGGCAACTTTGAATCAGTGTACGTAGGATATCTCCATCTACTAAGTTTGATCATCATAACAAAATGGTGTCACCTGACAGAGATCTGTGGAACACAGGAGAAACTGAAAATATAAATATTTGGATAAAATGCATTGAGGCACATTGCCATAATAAAGATGTTATGAGATTATCAAACACCTGGAGGACAGAAAGAAATCATGGATTTGTTTTTGGTCACTGCAGGATGCAAAACCATGAGGCAGATTTCATTAATGACTTACCCAGCTAAAATTGAAAACTTGACATTTAAGAAAGTCAAAGAAATAATATTGAGAAATATTCAGCCAAAGAAAAGATTGGTCATAGATGAATGAACCAAATTCTTAGCATTGAAACAAGAATTTGGGGAGCCTATTGTAATATCCCAGCAACAGAAGGGAGATAACCCCTAGAGACACAAGAGTTAGGTCCCCTCCGGACATCCGGTTAATCTTAATCAGCAGTTTAGCAGCAAAAGGGGAAGAGGAGGCCACCATGACCTGAGGGACAATCAACAACCATCCTAACATCCTATCAACGCATTAATCGATGCCTAGCAAGCATCGATAGCCTCTTGCGCAGAACATTACATTGGCGATGTGGACTGAGTCGTTACCCTCACAAAAACAGAACATCAACACACTTTTAAAAAAAAAAAAAAAAATTCAACATGTGTTCGATATATAACCAATATGGCCGCCGTACCACACTACCCCGAATTCGATTGTGAGTCAACAGCCAAAGCAGCAAGATGGACAAAATACGTAAAAAGACTGAAAAACTATTTTGTCGCACATAATATTGAGGATGAAAAACGGCAAAAAGCAATCTTACTAACGTTTGTCGGCGAGGCTACGAATGACGTCATCGATGAAATACCACAGGAGCGAGTCACACCGGAAAAAAATGAAACACATTTCGACAAGCTTGTCTCAGCGGTGCACAACCACTTCAACCCTGAAAATGACATGGAATACAACCGATTCGTGTTCTGAAAAATTAAACAAAATAGCCCAGGCATCGAAGACTTCTACCGCAAACTAAAGGAAGCTATGACTATGTGCCGTTTTTCCGACATGGATTCTGAGGTGATGTCCCAATTAATTACAGGCTGCCTGTCGGAAAAAGTCCGCCAGAAGGGACTCATGAACTCAGATATGTCACTACATGACTTAATAAACTACGCAAGGACAACGGAGACGATAGCGTTGCACCTACAAACAATGCGACTGGAAGACAACAACACCGCTACTGCTACAACCGCCCCAATAAACAAAGTCGCGGACGAACAGCGCCGACCAATCAACTATCCCCGCCATACCAGTGCAGGAATTGCAACGGAAAATACCCTCATGAGCGGGGACTGACGTCTTGCCCGGGATTTCATACCCAGTGCACATACTGCAGAAGGTGGGGACAATTCACCTCTGTCTGTTTCAGAAGATTAAACGACGGAAACAGACAACGGGAAACAAATCGTCCCCCACGAACACAGACCAATCGACGCTCAGTGAACCGCATTGAAAACAACCAACGGAACCCACGTAGCAGCGGTAGTGATACAGAATACATGTTCCACACAGGTAAGACGATAAACCTTCCTTGCTTTAACGTGTCTTTCAGCTATAGCCACCAGACGTTCAACACACTAGCCGACTCAGGCACCACCATTAACGTCCTGTCTGAGGCAGACTTCAAACGTTTGAGACCAGCACCCCACATCCGACCCACAAAAACGGTAATATCTGGGTTTCGTGTAAAGGAAACCACCCCAGCCCTAGGCTGGTTCAACATATGCCTAGAATTCATGGGCACCGCTTGCCAGGCCGACATACATGTGATAAAGAGCCCAGAAAAGCCCATCATCAGCTGGGAGACATGCAAAAGGCTAGGACTGCTATCCGCATGCAAACTCTCCATCAACCATATCAGTGACTCTGACACACAAATCCCTCCCTCCACCCTTAAACTTCTGGATGACCATGCAAACCTCTTCAATGGCCTAGGTAAACTCAAAGGGAAAAAGGTTCACCTACACATAGATGAAACCATACCACCTGTTGCCCAGAGATACCGCAGAATCCCCTTCCATGTAAGGAAAGACGTGGAGGAACTAATATACAAAGATGAGAAACTAGGGGTTATTGAAAAAGCAGAAGGGCCAACCCCATGGGTATCTCCCATCGTGGTCGTACTGAAAAGAGACCAAAACAAAATCAGAGTGTGCATTGATATGAGAGCAGCAAACAAGGCCATTAAAAGGAAACGGCACCCAAGCCCCACACTAGATGAACTGAAAACCATTCTATCAGGAGCTAATATCTTCAGCAAATTAGACCTCAATCAAGGTTACAACCAGTTTGAACTAGCTGAAGAGTCCCGCTACATAACAACCTTTATGGCACACCCTCGGCCTATACAGATACAAAAGGCTATTCTTTGGTGTCAACTCCACCAGTGAGATATTCCAGGAAGAAATCAGTCAAGCACTTGCAGGGATTAATGGAGCCATCAACATCAGTGATGACATCCTCTGTTTTGGATCAGACCAGCAGGACCACAACCAAAGCCTTCACGCAGTATTCCAGTGAATTCGCGAAAAAGGTCTCACCCTCAATGGCAGCAAATGTGAGTACAACAAAAGGTCACTGGAATTCCTCAGACACACTTTTGGCAACAAAGGCATTAGCCCAAGCAGCCTCAAAATAAAAACTATCCTTGGGCTACCCAACCCTAAAAATGCATCAGAAGTCAGAAGCTTGTTGGGGATGACTAACTTCTGTGGTGCACAATTCATTCCAAACTACGTGACCCTGACTCACGACCTACATCAACTAACAAAAAAAAACACTCAGTGGTCCTGGACTGAATGCCACAGTGAATGCTTAAAAAAAATCAAGGATGCCCTGAGCAAAGCATGCTCACTCACCTACTTTGACCCGAACAAACACACTGAGATATACACTGATGCTAGCCCCATAGACATCTCTGCCGTGCTGTCACAAAGTGGACAGGTAGTACAATTTGCAAGCCGAGCATTATCCGCAGTTGAACAAAGATACAAAGATACTCCCAAACAGAACGTGAAGCCCTCGCTATCACATGGGCATGTGAACATTTCCATATATACATTTTCGGAGCACCATTTACTGTGCATACAGATCATAAACCCTTGACATCAATTTTTAACAACACCCGCTCTCAACTATCGGCACGCATTGAACGCTGGGTCTTGAGAACACAACCGTACAACATGACCGTCATATACCGACCAGGTCATGACAACCCAGCTGACTACCTCAGCTGTCACCCTATACACCTGCCACCGAGCGACAGAGAACAAAAAGTAGCAGAAGAATATATAAACTACATCCTCTCAACATCAACCCCCAAAGCAATGACAATTGAAGAAGTCGCAACGGAAACCGCAAAAGACAAGACACTCACAGCCATCATACAAGCCCTCCTCACCAACAAGTGGTATGGTATTGACGATGACGTAGATAAAGCAACATTCCAAACTCTGCATGCCAACCGTGCTGAACTCTCACTAGCACACAACGACAGCATCATTCTCAAAGGACGCCGGATAGTACTGCCCAAGACACTACAAAGCAGAGCCGCCCAAATTGCACATACCATTCAACAGCAGCGATTTCAAAGACTACACCTCCCTCACCGGATTCAAACACAGGAAGATAACACCCCTGTGGCCCCAGGCCAATGCTGAAACAGAACGCTTTATGCGCACTGTAAAAAAGTCCATCAAGGCTGCCCTAATTAAAGGTCGAAGCTGGAAGCAGGAATTATTCAAATTCCTACTGGACTACCGAACAACGCACACTGCACCACAGGTGTACCCCCGCCTCAGTCCAGTTGGCGGGGATAAAAAACTGCCTGCCACACTTGATCACACCCATAGCTGGAGACCCCAGCATCAGGGGAGCGTGACACACAAGCCAAGACAACTATGAAACGATACGCTGACAGGAAAACATACGCGAAACCCAATGATCTCAGAGTGGGTGACACAGTCATTATAAAAAACGACCACACCTCAAAGGCTCTCACACCAACCTAACCTAATGACTGTAGCAAAGAAAAAGGGATCTATGATAACTGCCACACATGAGGGCCACCAAACTACATGAAATGCCACCTTTTTCAAGAAAATCCCAAAACCACCAACAAGCTCCACACACAACCCACTTGACTTCATACAACAAGAGGAGTTAATTGAAAAATTTAATACAAATGAAAACCAACCTGAGTTTATGGACACATGTGTGATAAAAAGAACAATGATAAAATGCAGATATTGCAACTATAAACATGAATCAAAGAGAGAAAAATGTCCAGCATGGAAACGGACATGTAATAAATGCAAAAAGAAAAATCACTTTCAAGTCATATGTAAATGGCAAGATAGCAATGGAAAAACTGTTGAAGTAATACATGATGATGTAAAAAGTAAAAAAAAATCTTTTTTTCAATAGAAAGAAGAAACAAAAAGAACACTTTCACAAATATTAAATGCACGTGTACACTTAAAAATACAAGTTGACACTAGAAGCAAAGTGACTCTTATTCCAAAGAATTTTTGGGAACAATTATCAAAACTAAAATTAAAAGAAAAGCTTAGTAAGATTAAGACAATTTGATGGAATGTGTATAAAAATATTAGGGTCCTTTCAAGGCACTTTTGAAACAAAAAATAAATTTGAAACCATCACTATTATGGTTATAGACTATATAAAAAGTCACAGTTTAGTAGGAACTGATTTGATAAATATTAATAGCACATGTTTACTTAATGCTATGAATATAGGAAGTCCTGAAACTGGGACATTAAAAAGGTATAAAATAAGCCTTAAGTTCAAAAGAAATATCAATCCATCGTATTTTGAAAATTTGTTAGCAGGGAGAGTAGATAATGTTATAATTTATCAGAACAATATATGTTTAGGTGTGGCCATTGAAGAAGAAATGAAACAAAAAATAAATTTGTAATGGATAAATTGAGGAGGGCAGGAATGATGATAAATAAAGATAAGTGTATATTTAATTGCAAAGAATTAACATTCTTGGGTTACCAAATTTCTGAAATGGTACTTTACTGGACCCAACTTTAATACAAAAAATATTAAATGTATCTCCAACTAATAAAAAAGAATAGGAATCATTTCTCAGATTAGCCAATTTTTATAGCAAATTCTTGTCAAAATATTCTGGAAGAATTGAAGCTATTTCTGAGTTGCAAAAGAAGAAGAAGAAAACAAAGATCCGTCATTAAATTAAAAGAAGCTCTATCTAAAAAACCTGTGGTCAAGATTTTTCACCCTAAAAAGGATGTTACATTAACCACAGATGTGAGTGACCAGTCTATATTGGCAATTTTGTCCCAGGAAGAACCACCCTGTGAGGTATCTTTCCAGGACATTGACACCAGCTGAATTGAGCTACTCTAATATTGAAAAGGAAGCACTTGTGATTGTATGGAGTATGACCAGAGCAAGACAATTTTTATTAGGAAAATTTTTTGTTGAGATCAGATCATAAGTCCTTAGAATTTATATTATTTTATAATATAGAATTTATATAATTTATATTATCTAGGAAGGATTTGCCAAAAGCTACAACATCCAGAATATTGACATGGCCTATGAAGTTAATGGCTTTTGATTATGATACAGAATGTATGATGGGAAACACAATACCACATGAAGATGCATTGTCCCGACTACAATTTGAAAAGAAACAAAATGAAAAAAACATAAAAAAGTTGAGGATGAATTTTTTGCATTGGGTGAAAACAAAGGTGTTGCCCATGAATAGACTAGTTATGGAGACGTTACATGATCCAATCTTAAATCAAATTTTATCTAGAATAAGGAACAATGCAGTAATTGTTCAAAAGCAGAAGGACCATACAAAGAGATCAGACATAAACTATCAATAGAAAATATAATTTGGGGATTTACTCGTATCACTGGAAAAATGTAGAAAAGAATTAATTAAAAATGTACATACTGATGTGCATTGTAGGATAATTGCTACATAAAAACAGTTAAAATTGGAAGTGTGGTGGCTGGGATACACCCAAGATGTAGAGAATTACATACACACATGTCCTAAATGTGCCAAAATAAAGAATTTTTGCCACAATAAGTTATACTCTTGTCCTAAGGAAACAGAACCATCATCTAGAGTTCATATGGATCATGCACATGTTAATGGGGTAGGTTTATGTCTAATACTGGTTGACACTTTTTCCGCCTGGTCTGAGGTTTTCCAAGTTCAAGATAAAAAATCTATTTCTGCAAAACAAAAATACATAGTATTTGCTAGAAATGGAGTACCAAAAACATTAGTAACTGATAATGCTCCCGGATTCTGTGACAAAAGTCTATGCTTGTGGTTAAGGATGACTGGTTGTGAACTATATAAAACACCTCCTTACCACCCTCAATCAAATGGAACTGCTGAAAGGAAAAATAAAAAGACACTTTCACAAATATTAAATGCATGTAACAATCCACTCAGTCAGCTTCTTCCAAACAATAAAAATGGGATCGAAAGCATTTTCTTCTCAGCAAGAAAAGATTGAAACTTTCCTACCAAGATTATTGTTGAGTTACAAAATAATACCACATGCTAACAGATTAGAGAGCCTGTCTGCATTAATGGGCAGACAGATTAGAACTCCATTAACCATGTATTAATGGAATCATATGGTTCAAAAGAAATAAACAAAATGAGCTGGAAAAGGCGAATTTAATTTACAAGGAAGTACAAAGCAAAGCTAGTTCGAATGACTATGCAGATGAGCAAGAAAGCAGGGCACAGAAATCAATGGCTGATCAAAGTTCTTCAGAAGATTCGGAGTATGAAACATGGGACACTATGAATAAAAGAACTAAATCAAGGTCCCCCATAATGAGAATGCTCATGAAACCAGTGAGAGATTGAGGGAATGTAGGAGAAGCCGTAGATCTTTGCAGGGCATGAAGCCGAAAAGATTCAGGGAGATGTAATGGGATTGGTTTAGGTATTATGAAATAAGAGGCATGGTGGAGTAATGGATAGTGGCTTGGATTGAGAAATCAGAGAGCAGAGTTCAAATTCCAGTCAGATCCATTACATTCACTTACGTGCTAATATTCTTGGGAAAGGTATGAATCCTATCCCTCCCCAGCTATGGGTAAATAGCAGAACAGAGTGAGTTCTCTAGCCATGGATGGTTGGATGGCCACAGAAAGAAATGGCAACCTACTGCAGAAAAAGATCTTCCTCGTCAGTCATGTATCGAAAGATACATGATTGCCTAAGCATGTATCACGCATGGCACATAACTGACTGATTCCTTGTATATATGCTGAGTTTGAATTCTAGTCGAATCCATTACATTCCCTTAATGCTAAGACCCTTGGGAAAGGTATGAATCCTTCTCACTCCAGCTATGGGTAAATAGCAGGGCAGACTGGGTTCTATAGCTTTGGATGGCAACTGGTCTGCCACAGACAGAAATGCATCAGGAGGCAGCAAATAGAAAGATACATGATCGCCCAAGCATGTATCACACATGGCACATAACTTACTGAATAGGTAATTAACATAAAAAGAGCTATAACTACAGCTCATGGGCAACTTTGAATCAGTGTACGTAGGATATCTAAGTTTGATCATCAAGTTTGATCATCATAACAGCAGGGAAGATAATTGTTATGTCTTGACTTGAATAAGTTGAGATTGTAGTGATCTGGTAAGCATCCACTGGGGTGTCAGTTCCACAAAGCAGTGATTTGTGGGAAGAAGCTGCTTGAGTGAAGTTTATAATATCTTACCAAACATGCACATTGTATCCAACTACCCTAGTTTGCTGCAATATGTGTGGCATAGTGGGTTTTAGCTGTGAAGGTGAGAACTGGTAGAACTAAGAAATGTAGTTCATCTGAACATTTTCAATGGAAATAGTAATAGAGCAGCAAGAAGCTTGCTGCAAAATTTTGTCTGTGAGAAAAGTGGTTGTAGGTAGGGATTTATTTCATTACCCACAAGGTTTCAGAGTGATGTGAAATTAAAGGTAAATAAGACTTCCTAAGTTTATTTGCACATTCAATTATCATTTTTTATTCTTTAGTGCCATGTTCTTTCAGGCCAGGGCCAATGCAAGATTCTTGGATGAATCTTTGATACAGCCCAATAATTAATCACATGCAGGTTAACAATTCAATTAGAAAAATTGAAAATAAATACAATGTATCAAAATACGAATTAGAGACATGTCAGAATAGATCATTCTATCTTAAATAAATCAACAATGTTTTGTGACAATTTTTAACATCAACTTGAGATTTTTCTTGTTAAAAAGTTGAACTATTTTAATACATTCAACATAAAAAAATAGTGAATTTTATGTAATGTTTTTTTTATCATGAGCAAAACAAATTCACAGATTTGGACAAAGAAAACTAGCTCCAGAATGACATGAAAATCCAGGAAAATTTTTCATTCTTTAATAGTCAGTTGTGCTTAGTTTAATTTGTAACATATATAATTGTTAGTAGAAAAAAAATCAAAAGTTGATAAGAGAGCAAGTCTCACAAAACACTACCTGAGGCCCCTACTAAAGCTTGACCCCACCCCATAAAATTTACAATGAAAAGTTTTTATTCAAAGAACTTTGTTGCTTTTTGTTTAACTTATCCTTGTTAATCTCCCATGGGAAAT